TTTTTTTTTGGTAGTCAGAACATGTAATTGACAAAAAATTGCAAAGTTGAAATGTGTCTGTACGATTACAAATAAAAACTATGTTTACAAAGAAATAAACATGAGCAGCAGAAGAAATTACAAGGCAGATAAGAAAGAAATTTGGATGAAGCTAAGACGCAGACGATACCGTAGTAACTTTGCACTAACTCTCTACTTCCCATCCCTTTTAGAAAATATTTTAAAAAATGTTTGCAGCGTCCTAATACACCGCACTTCTCAAAATAAAAAAAAATTTAAAAAAATTAAAATTATCCGCTCCTATGAAGCCATCATTTTTTGCAACTGAACAGCGTAAGCAATTCATCTATCCCGTTTAAGCTCCCTGAAGATATGGCACATTAGACATCTGACATTTTCTCCTCTTCCACAGGCTGAAAAATTTTACTGGTCTGATGATACAAAAGCTAATTCTCATAAAAACCACATTTTAAAAAAATTTATCTAATAAACTGTTTAGTAAATGAAAACTAGTAAATCTTTTAGCGAAGTCAAAACAACAGTGAAAAAAGTGGCTAAAACGCAGTGTTCAGTTTAAGATATAACAATCTGCTTTACCTGATTTAGATAGCTGCAGGTATTATCTAATTTATCCTCTAACTGATCAGACTTTTTTATTAGCAAATTAATAAAGTCTAGGTCCCAGGAATTAGTCAATGGTCCTTCTGTGGAAAAAAGATTCTCAGCAACGTCAGCCTTGTCAAATGTTTGCTTTGGCTTCTGGAAAGCACCAATTACAGAATGAAAAAGAAGAAGAGCGAAATAGGCAAAAAATCATTTTACAGTATACCTCACCAGTCATCAAAATAATTTTGATTCCAAAACTTACAAAAACAATTTTACATACTCTTTTTTCAAACTGCTGATCAATAATACAGTCATTTTAGTCATTTTTTGGTATAGATTAAGCTTTAACGAATTATGAAGATCAAAAAACACTAAAAAAACATTTGATTGCAAAGGAAAATTTTGAAAAGCAATGCGAAACTAACGTGAAGAAGCGTTGGACGCCCATCACCGACAACTTTTGAAAAGAATTTCTTTTTCGTTGCGTTTCGAGGTGGGTCCAGTAAACTGATCCTTCTCTGTATTTTAAAATGACTGTTATTTGAGTGACATAAAAAAGTTTAGTCTAAACTAGAAAAAGTTCTGTAGTCAAAAACGTAAATTTGTTTTTTCTACTCCTAATCATGTGGAATAACAACTCCATTGAAAAAAAAATACCTTCAATACGAAAGTGTTTGCCATTTCACTGTTACATGGCAAATTTTGCACCTTACAGAAGACTGTTACGTAAGTCGGCTCTGTCGAAAAACAATGAAGAACTGACGGTACTGGACGTTCCCTCGTGAGCAGCCTAGGTGTTAGTAAAAAGATATTGATATTTTATTCAGAAAATGTTTTTTAAAACGTTCCGTTGGAAGCTTCAAAACAGTGAGTACTTAAGCGTAACAATAGTTCCGCAGCCGCAGCAATGCTGACGCTTGCGATGTCAAGACGTAAAACTTAGACTTATCAACAGGGAAGAAAAGACGTTTTAATTAAAATACTTACTGGTGTTGATTTTCGAAAACGCTGCCTGTAGATCTCCACTGAAAATGGTAATCGGCCATGGTTCTTGGTCTTGAGAGCCAATATGTCAGAGGTAAAAGTACCTAAACCGTGGGTATTGTATTTCCTATGCTGGCGGTCATGTCAATCAACAAATCTAGCCAACTATTCTGACCACAAGAATACGTCAAAAATAGGATTGGAAAAGGAACTAAGCAATAAAGTTTTGTAATAAATTTTTTAACCAAAAAATATTTGTGTACCGACTGGTTCCCTCTTCTGTTAAATGGAAGATTCGAAAGCGGAACTGGTGTAGAGCTGACAAGCACGTTCCTGGAATTACTAGCTTGAGTGACATGTCCATCTTTACCGCCGTTATTCCATTCCTGCTTCATCTTAGTCGTATTTT